ATGCCTATAACTCTGGACAGAAGGCCTATGGGCACTTATCCTTTTGGGGCTTTTCATACCTCACTGGGGTCTATCTTTCACACTGAATTCGAACTCAAAAGCGATTGGACAGTTGAAAAGGTTCCCTCGTTAGCTTTTCTAATATTTCTTTTGTGAAAATATAAGTATATATATATATAAACAAAATTTGCTCTGACTTCAGCATAAAAATGCATCCGTAAGATATTGAGTAAATATTCGATGTCGTGCATTGAACATATTTTTCCAAGTTATCTAATTGATGAACTACATACATCTGTTTTTTAAATATTGAAACATTCTAAAATTAGTGCAACAAATCTCTTATGATATTTTGACAAAAAAACGCGCTGACTTTTGTTTTTTTTTTATGAGTGGATTTGAATGAAATTTTTTCTTTTTCTTCTTTGTTTTCCATATATTCATTGTGATTGTCTCGAATTTATTAATAATCAATCCATAAACGAATGTTTTATACAACAAATTACAAATCATGATATAGATATACATAATTATTATTCGGAATGTTTACAATGTAAAATTCAAACATTAATTCAATATGAAAATTTAAAATTTGAAGAAAATAATCAATGTTTAACAATTATACTACAATGTATACAATTAATATTTAATAATAAAGAAATATTTGAAGATTTTTTTCAATATCATCAACAATTTATATATGATTTATTTAATAAAAATAATGGTACACATCAAAATACATTACATATAATAATAAAAGAAAATACAATTGAAGAAATTAATCGTAATTATATTGAAAATATATTTCAATTAAAATATCAATCTTATCGTGCATTATTTTTTGAATTACATATTAAAAATCAAATTATTAAAATAAATCAAAATCTTATTGATATAACACGTTTATCAATTAAAATAATACTTGTATGTGGAGATAATATAAAACCATTACAAACTATTTATATGATTCATAATCATAAAATAACATTAGAAAGTCAACAAGATTTATGTTTACCTATATTTATTCCATTAAC